CTGTCCCCTCAGTTGCTTCAGTTACTATGGCGGTCTGGGTTGGCAGGGTGGGCTATACTCTAAGAGTTCTCAGGGTCCAGTGGAGGAGCTCACTTGGGGGAATGTTGCGCCACCAGTTATCCTGGCCCCTCCTGCAGCTGTAGTTGTGTGGAGTGGTGTGGGTGGACTGGTTCCTGATTCATTGGGGCTGGTTGAGGCACTTGCTCCTGGTATGGGTGGGGTGGATCCTGGTGTGGTGATACCAGCTGCGGTGGTATCACCCCCTTTGGGGGGGCAGGCACCTGAGTCCTCTGTAGCTGGTCGGGGTAGCACCTTTGGTAGCATTTCTCCTGTAGTAGTAGGTGGTGATGAGGGTGACACATTCACTCCTGTTACTAGACCTGCATCTGAGGGTGGGAAGAGAAAGAGAAACAAGAAGTGTCAGGTCAAATAAGACCAGACCTCACCTGTGCCACTTGTCCCCAACTCGGAAGAGTCATCACCATCGCCGGTTTGCTATGGCAAACCGGCTACTACAGAGTCCACGGCGGGTTCGCCGCCTGCACAGGGAGCTGAGGAGTTAGAGGAGGGGTTGAATATTGGGGCATGTTCAGTCAAGTACTAACAGCTTGGGGACTATCTCATTCTGGCTGCTTCCGTCGAGGTTTTTGGGCTGCACTGCTGGTGTAGTGCCCCACTGATTCTCTATGATGGTTCATACCCCCTTGGCTAGGGAGCCCTCGCCCTGTAAGTCCGCTTTCCCTCAGGTCTACGTACTTGGGTATTGGGTGTTTCTTTTGTTTGGGAATAGGGACGGGTGCTGGGGTGGTGGGCAGGGTGTCCTGGGATCATTGAGTAGGGGTGCTCGGGTGGGTTTCTATTGTGCAGGGTTTTGTGGGGTCACATTCAGGTGGCGGTAGTGGAATATTTGTATTTTGTATGGGTAACTTGGCTGGCAGGTAGGCTGGGCTGAGGAGGACTTTTCTTTACCGTTGATTGCTTTGTACTTAGTGTTTGTGTTAGGGCATAGTGTGGGTATGTTTGAGGTACAGGGTTGGAGGTTTAGTTAGTTTATAGTTAGTGGTATTCGGGATGCAATAACCTGGGGACCCAGCTCTGGGGCTCATCATATGCCATTGTTGACGGTACGAGTTTAAATAAAATTAGATTGAATTCTAAGTACTTTTCCTACTTATTACTTTAAATAAATATAAAACACCTTTACGATCTTGATCATTATTGCAACCCTTATTGTTACACCAAAGAAAGCTTTTCACGAAGAATGTAACGTGTTTGCAAGGTGCTAATCACGTTATCGGTAAAGGTACGATAGTTGGCAGGTGGCCTGCTCTTCCGGAGAGGAGGCGAGAGCTGAGAACTAAAGGAGGCTTCGAGGGTGTACTGAGAAACAAAGAAGTAACCGTTCAACTAAGTATATTAGAATACTGTCTGTCGAAGTCTGCCCTTTCTATCATAGAAACAGGCGGTCTTTAAATACACAAATCTGTTCATGTCTTAACATGAACGAAACTAATCAAAGGTATCAATCGATACACTTTGGTAAAACTCCTTAAGTATCAAAGCGATACTTAAAACAAAATATAAAACAAAACCAAGTATCAAACGATACTTAAAGCTAACCAAGTATCAAAGCGATACTTTAAAACAAAACATAAAACAAAACCAAGTATCAAACGATACTTAAAACTAACCAAGTATCAAAGTGATACTTTAAAACAAAACATAAAACAAAATCAAGTATCAAACGATACTTAAAATAAAACCTATAACCGAGTACCCGTACCGGTTACAAAGAAGAGTTAGAGAAAGCTTACAATATGCGTTCCTGATAGTAGACAAAGGTCTTGTACTATTGATAATATCAGCATAGGCCTAGTACTATCATAATACCAAGGAAAGAAGAAGGGAAAGAAGAGAAGTATCATTCCCCATCACCAAGAACTAACTATCTGAAGAGGGATCTTTACATTACAAAGCGTTACCTAGAGTAACGACAAATGATACAAGACGGCTTCCTTCAACCTAGACAGGGAAGGAGATATTGACATCGACAATCAAAACCATAATCTAGGAGGATTTAGCGAAGCCCTAGATTATGTTTCAGTAGAGCCATCGAGGGCAGTAAGTCCAGTAACCCCAGAGAATGGATCACCTATCGATTACAAGTATACAGGAACTCCACGACTGAAAAGGATATCAGGTTCAGTAGCACTTAAGCCACCAGCTCCAGCTGCTCCTGCACCAGGTACCAGTGTACTTGGAATGACTGAAAATCAGTTTCCAATTTTTCTTGCAGCAACATGAAATACAGGACATAGGAATACCCAACGGTTGAAGGCAAAAGGGCCGGACACTTACGAAGAAGCAAAAGATAAACTATGAATATTCTTAGCACAATACGAAGAATACTTTGCAGTCAAGGGTTATGGAGAACATTACGATGAGATTAAGATTCCCTTTGTGGAATATCTATTGAGAGGACTCACAGGACAATAGATTATGCCTTTCCAAGATGGAAGAAAGCAAAGAGAATAGGTCACCAATGCAGAGTTTAAGGTAACCCTCTTTGAACTATTTGGCGATCCCAACACCAAAGAAATGGCAAGACAGAAGTTAGAAAAACTCCAACAATGAAAACAGATCTTTTCAGCATAGTGGAATGAATGTCAACTATAAGAATACAAGGCAGAATTCAATGATGCTACTTTCTACATCATTATGCTGAGAAACTGCAGTAAGAGACTGCAAGAAGTGTGGGGAATTTCTGGCCTGCGCTACACAACTTCAGAATGGTTTGCAAGATGGGTGATCAACAAGGAAAGCAAACTGAACATGGTTCAAAATAATTCAGAAAATACTATAACATATAGGATGGTCGGATCGTCCTGAAATGTGGATGGAACTTTCCCACCGCAAGCAGCTCAGAGTGAAAGCAGAGCAGTACCAGTAGGCGAACCAATGGAATTGGACAAATCAAGAAGAGGGCAAGCTCTGAACCTATCCAAAGAGGAATATACTAGAAAGATGAATGGAAAACTCTACTTGAGGTGTGGAAATGCAGGACATCAGATATGGGAATGCTGAAACCGACGTGACAATAGATATCAAGGAACAACGGTGGCTGGAAATAATTGTTTCCAGTTTCAGAAAAGAAGTAACATCCGTGAGATGATTGCCGAGGACTTATCAGCGGAAAACAGCCAGGGTCCTCAGTAAAAGGTGGTCTGGGAGACCCAAGATGTGGACCTAGAAAATCCATCAACTTAGCGAACTACTATACAGCACTACGAATACAACATTGAGATGGAAATGGAGATCATGTGATGATTAAGACAAAGATATACAATAAAAAGTATGAAGAAACAACAATATACACAATGCTCAACTCAAGGGTAAGCGAAGATTTTATCGACCAGGAAATCTGCGACGTATATGGCCTCAACACCAAAGAAGTAAAGAAAGTGAGACAGGTCTACCTAGCAGACGGAAAGCCAAGCGCAATGGGTCCTATAACCTAGACAGCGGAAGTACCTATGGATATTAACAGCCATAAGGAAATGGTAACCTTTCGGGTAGCAGACATCAAGAACTATGAAATAGTCCTGGGAATGCCATAATTACGAAGACAAAACCCAACAATCAATTAGAATATGAATAAAATGACCTTCACCAGTGAACTATGTACAACACAATGTCTTAACAGTTCACCAGTGGTCTACTCAACACCAATATGAGAAGTGGAAGAAGAAACTTTGCATACAAAGTGAGCCGAGATGCAGCAAGACAAGAGAGTCCGGATACACAAACTGGACCAAGGGGTAAAAGCACCTACTAAGGGTTCGAAGAAAGCAGCAGGACACAACTTGTATGCCAACGAGAGAATAAAGATACCTAGCAATGGGCAGGCAATGATTGCAACAGGAATAGCTATTAGACTACCAGATGGCATCTGTGGACAGATAGTACTCCGCAGTGGTCTAGCAGTCAAACATCGACTCATAAACAACATGAGGGTAATCGACACCAACTACACAGGTGAAATCAAGGTGGTCTTGGCCAACCTAGCTCAAGAGGACTACGAAGTCCAGAAAGTAGAATCACACAATTGATCATTGAAAAGATCAACAACGAAGACCTACACGAAGTAGATCAGCTGGAAGAAACCAGAAGAGGAGATAAGGGGTTTGGGAGCACAGACCAAACCCAGCCCGATACCACAGAAAAGATTGAGATCAAAGAGATCATAGCACAGGCCTTCGGAAAGTACTATCAAAGAGTAGATACCACAGGAGTTCTCAAATGCACATGTGAAGACAAAAAAGCGGTCCTAGCAAAAATCAAGATCAGCACTGAGCTGGCAATCCAAGATCAGAAGTATCAGAGTAAAAAGGGGTGGAAAGAATTGATTCCAAAAGAATATCATCAATTTACAAATCTGTTCCAAGAAGAGGAAGCTGCTAGGCTACCACTAAGGAGACCAGGAATAGACTATGAGATTCAGCTGGACAAGCACAAAAAAACAGGAAAACCAAAGGAAATTCCTTACAAGAAGCTATATCCCCTAGGAGAAGCAGAACTCGAGGAACTCAGAAAGTACATTAAACAAAACCTGAATAGGGGATAGATTAGAGATTCCTTTGCTTCAGGAGAATCTCCTATACTATTTGTCAAAAAGAAGGATGGAAAAATGAGACTCTGCGTCGACTACAGAGCTCTCAATTCAGTTACCAAGAAATATTGGTACCCACTACCCTTGATTGGAGAAGCATTAGACAGATTACGATTGGCCAAATACTTTACCAAATTGGATATTGAGGATGCATATCACAACATACGGATCAAAGCAGGAGACGAATGGAAAATCACATTCACTTCAAGATATGGAATGTTTAAATACCCGGTTATGCTCTTTAGGTTAACTAATGCACTAGCTTCATTCCAACAATAGATCAACAAGGTACTAAACAAGTACCTTGACATATGTTGTATCGTATAGCAAGATGACATACTCATCTATTCAGAAAATATGCAACAACATCGGAAGGACATTAGTGTTAGGCGGAGACAACTTGATAGACTTCAATATTGTCTAGGCCAATCGAGATTTGTTTCTGTAGATGGAGATTGTCTAGGAAGGCTCGGACTTTGCTCGTTTCATTTATGACTACTAGGAGCGAAGTAAAATAGGTAAAGTAGGGTAGAATCGTAAAAACAATATTATATTGTTAAGGTCTCTTCTCAATTGCTTGATCATGTCTACAGCTTAGGAGGCACTTCAATATTTATATTCCACATCTGAGTGTTCGCGGACTACATCTATTTTTCATACAACTATGTACTTCTTCAATCATAATTTACCACATCGAGTTTTCTTCCAAGGTGCGAACATCTGTGGACCCTGAAAACCATCACACCCTCTTCAGTAATTACGATATTTCTTCTTAGGAACGTGCTGTCCCAAATAGTAATATCCCAATTAGCAGGATCTTTAGACTTATGGTCTAGTTCTCAAGTTGAACTGAGTTGGCCACAATTGTCTTCGCTATTGATAAAATGATCAGTTTTATCCACGGCTATATCTGCAAAGGTGGTCGTCATTACAACTATTGTAGGTCGTCTGACTCTGATCCTTTGTAACTCCATACTCAACTGATAGATTTTCTCTGAATGACTTTCTATTAACTCACAGGAAGCTATTCCACCAGATTGGTAATTAATCCCTCTGTTGGCAACTCTTGGTTGCTCTCTGGGTAGTAGGTTTCAGCGACCATTGTAGTATTGAGAATCACCCCATGGTTAAAACATGTTCCGAAACCCAGTTGCAATGCTCCGTGAAGTTCGTTGGCTTCTTTGGTAGTGTCTTTTGGAGTTCTAAACTCTTCTGGTGGATGTAAATGTATTGGTCTCTACTGGAGATCCTTTACCATTTGATACCATCTCTTAATACGAAACCGTCCCGTTACTTATAGCCAATGCCAAAGGTGTCATGTCTTTGAAGCCAAGTAACTCTCTAGGTAGTTGACAGAATTACTCTGTTCTACTTCTCAGACCTAGCTGAAGGTCCTCTCCCATATATCCTGCGAACAGGATCCGGTCAGATGGACGGCAAAGATGTATATGGCGTTAATTTAACACCTTCAATTCTGTGGTAATATAGTCACAGGACACAACTAAGATTGATATATATGATGACGTGCGGGCCCTGTAAGGGAGCTGGAGGGGAGTGTTGGAGACCAGAGATTCCAATTCCAAGTGGGGTTACCCTACTTAGGGTGGTTCCTAGGTATCGGGTTCTGGTATTCCTAACAGTTAGCAACATCTTGGCTGCGATACAAGATTCAGGAATGAAGAAACAAAATGCAAATTACATAATAAAGAAACCGAATACCTCAGATTCATCGTCAACAAAAGCAGAGTCAAGGTTGATCCAGTCAAAGCGGTAACAATATGGGATTGGGCAAAACCTAACAATAAAAGGGACGTTCAATGCTTCATCAGATTTTGCAACTTTTATCGAAGATTCATAGAAGGGTTTATCAGACTTGTAAAACCACTCTATAATCTAACCAAGAAAGACAAGAAATGGGAATGAGGAGAAATGGAATAAAAAGTATATGATGGAATCAGAACACATCAGACATCAGCACCGATACTGGTCCATTTCGACGCAAATCGAAGGATGATGATCGAAATAGATGCCTCAAAGTATGTATACTCAGGCATACTGTCATAACAATGCGAAGACGGAAAATGGAGGCCAGTATCTTATCGGTCTAAGACAATGACCCCGCAAAATGCAACTACGATGTTGCAAATAAAGACCTATTAGCAATAGTTCAAGTATTAAAGAAGTGGAGGAGATACGTCCTGAACAACAACCAGCTGGTCCAAGTTCTCACGGATCACAAAAATCTGGTCCCACTCATAACTAGGAAGGAATTGAATAACTGCCAGATAAGATAGATGGAACAACTCAGTAAATACAACTTCAAGATTAAATACAGACCAGGAATAGAGAGCCAAAAGCCAGATGATCTCACATAGATTGCAAGCGACAAACCACAAATAAAAGAAAATGCAAAGATTAAACAGAAAACACAAATACTGTTACCAAAAGCCTACTTCCAGGTAATGGAAGTTATCAAATTCACATCCAAGGAAGGACAAGGAATCAAGAAGGTAAATGAAGAAGACAAAACAATATGGACAATAAGGGAAGTCTTGAAGGAAGGAAAAAAGGAGATGAAAGGAATTACTCTAGGTTTATGCTGATGGGAAGATGGAAATATGTGTTACAATGGAAAACAGTGGATTCTGGAAGAAGAAAAGATAAGGACAAACATCATATGACAATATCATGATATCCCAATGGCAGGACATGTAGGAACAACTAAAACAACAGAATTCATCATAAGGTCATTCTATTGGTCAAGATTGTACGAAGATATTAAAAGATATAACAAAGGTTACGACATATGCTAAAGGACAAAAACACCTAAACATGTACCTTACGGATTACTGAAATCAAACGAAGTTCCAAAATGACACTGGGAAACAATTACTATGGATTTTATCACGAACCTACTACCATCGGAACAATAAGATGGCATCCTGGTTGTAGTAGATCTTCTGACCAAACTGAGTTATTTTATTCCAGTCAGAAAAAATATAGATCTGTAGGATTTTATACAAACCTTCTTCCGAGAGGTTTTCAGACTGTATCGTCTTCCAAAGAATATCATTACGGATCAAGGAATATTGTTCACATCAGGATTGTAGAAAAAAGTAACTGGGGAAATGGGAATACAAATTTAGCTGAGCACTGCATTTTACCCGTAAAGAGATGGACAAATAGAATAGGTAAATGCAATCCTCGAATAATATTTACTGGCCTATGTCAACTATCAACTAGATAATTGGTATAAGCTATTATTAATGGCAGAATTTGCATACAACAATGGAAAATAAGAAACAATAGACACCACACCCTTCTTTACGAATTATGGACAACATCTACAAAGTCCTACCACATATCATATGATTAACAGCATAATACCAGATAAAGCAGATATGAGAAAACTACACAAGACATTACAATACGAAATGAGTCAATTACAGCAACAGCAAAAAGAACAATACGATAAGTACCGCAGACCGAATCCGAATATACAACTGGGAGATATAGTGTGGCAACTACAATGCAATATCCATACAACATGACCATCAAAGAAATTAGACTACAAGAAAGTCAAACCATTGTGAATACTAAATCGAGTGGGTAACCGAGCTTATAAGCTCGATCTTCTCTCCTCAATGTGAATACCTAACACATTCTACTTCTCATTCCTCAAATTGCACAACAATAATAAGTTTCCCTCACAAACAATTATTCCTCCACCTCCAATTGAACTCAATGGAGAACCAGAATACGAACTAGACAACATAATCGATTCCCACTTCTTCTACTGCAACCTCCAATACTGAATCCAGTGGACTGGTTATTCGCCTGAATATGATAAAACTTGGTATTACACATACAACTTTGAAAACCCACAAGATGCCCTCTCAACCTTCCACCAATGATACCCAGACAAGCCCGACCCAGGTGACGATCACATTCAACTAAGACAACGGCGAGGAAAAGCCTTCCATGCTGTTGTAACTATACCAGGACTGGGGTGATAGCCCCTACCAAACTACACCAACCAGTCCCAAATACTCATTCATGGGACCGACTGACAAAGAACTCAATAAAAGAGAAAAACAAGCACAGCATAATACTATGTCATGAATGGTATGCTATGATGATAAATACTAAACACACTTTGGCGACAAAGAAGGCTTGGAATAGTTTCCAAGAGAATACAGAAAGTGTGGTCCATGCCCGGACCATGCCATAAAGCACTGGCAACAGTGCTTCAAAAACAGGTGCAGGATGTGCAGGATAAGAAAAATCTCTGTAGGATACTACTCACAGAAGGACAGAAGTAAGAAAGAGTTGGAAGAAGAGGATGCCAAGAAGCCTTGGGCCATGAGGACATGGCCTAGGGAGGGAGGGGCCCAAAACTCCTCTGCAGATATGGAACTGAATATCAGGAGCCTACATAGGCAAATCAGAGGACTCTGAGAACAACTTGCCAGGGCCGAGGCAATAATTTCGGCAAATAACAAAACAATTGCGGAGCTAAGACAGCTGAATGATAATCAGCAGTACACGATCGAGATGGCGAACCTAACCTTGGAATCAGTAAGGGTCAGATGGCAGACTGCAGATGAAAAGTTCCACAAGCTGAAAAAAACCATGTGCTCAGCTGGACGGGAACTATTGCAACTAGGAGATAAAGTCTGATGGGACTTAGGCTTAGGGAGAAGGGAGCTAATATCACAAATGTGGCATGGCAAGGAAAGGGTTTTCACATGACGCATAATTATGAGTCATAGGTATGTTATTGTTTTATGCATATGATACATTTTGATCATATGATTTGTTTTATTATGGTTTGATATGTTTTGCACATGACTTGAATATGAGTCATGAGATAGGTGCCTGGCAAGTATGCCTTGCAAGTGTACCTTGTGGGTATGCCTTACCCATAGGATTGATATTTAGCACATGACCTTGTTATGAGGTCATGGGTTTCACACAAGTGACTCATTCATATCATATAACTTGTTTATTGTATTATGATTGGTTTATAAGTTTTCGCATATGATCTTGCTATGGGGTCATGGGTTTTGAGCATGTGACCACTTTGGTCATATCACTAGTTTGTTATGATTTGGTTTCACACATGTGACCACTTTGGGCCACATGACAATGGGCGGGAAGAATATCATATAAGAAGGCCGGTATAGCTGAGGAGGATAGGTTCTTCACGTTTTGTTCTAAGTACTTTTCCTTGTCCTTGCCTTCGCTTCACCCCAAGTGTTTCTTTCGTACCTACAATAGGCCTTGATGCCTTAGATTCTGCAGGAGATATCTGAGTTCGCTCAGTAGTTCCTGGGATTTTTGTGTTGAGGTCTGTTAGGTGTTGCGTGGCGGATTACTTGTTTGCTTCTTGTTTCATTGCCTGCTGGTTATCTCATGATACTGGCACTTCGAGCTATTCATCATGGTTACTTACAAGCCCCTTTCAGTAAAATGTCTTCAGGTTCCTGTCTATCATCTACTTACAGGTTTCATGTTCGTTTGGTGGGGATTGAACAATGTGTTTGGAGGGATCACCCGTGTCGTTCAACGGGCCAGCTCATCTTTCTTATTGGGTTTTAACCGAGTCCTTAGTTCTCACAATGCAAAATGCCCTCGGGTTAGACTGATGACCTTTCCGAGTATCAACTCATCATACCGGCCGCATCATTCCTCAGGTGGCAGGGCGGTATGCACTCAGCCCCTCCTCATTACATTATATTTCCACGGTCGGAATCCTACGATGTTGTTTATTACCGTTCCCTTGGAGCTTTTGTCCTTGTAGCATTTACTGTGATTCAGTCAGGTGTCTCCTCCCCATCTCAGTGGAGATAGCTTTGACTCTGAAAAATCTTACCCCCTGGTATGGTCTTCTGTTACTGCCTGGGGTGGTGTGGGACAATTGGCTGCCAGACACTCGCGTTGTCTGTGTGTTTGGGTGGTTCGGTTGTGGATTGTAGTTAGTGGCTTCACCCATTGCAAGTGGAGCCTACCTTCTGTTTGTCTCCTTCTATTTGTTCGCCCTCCCCCTTCTTGTCACGTCAGTTGGGGATGCCCCTTACCTGTCATTCAGTCTGTGCCTATTGCCAGACCTGTGAGGCTGGCTTTAGCTGGCTCTGCTTACTCTTTCCCGACTTGGTTAGACTTCAGTTCAGCTGGGTTGGATGGTATGACTGGTGTCGACGCCTTTAGGTATTGGTGTTACCTCCTTTGTGGCTCCAGGCTGTGGCTGGTAGGCCCCCCTCGGCTATATGATATTGAGGGTTGGGGCTCTGTTAGCGTGGCCAAGACTAGTGGCTGCCTGATGGGGCTAGGTATAGCCCGTCCTGTAGCTATCGGATGGTTGATCTGTCTGAGCAGCTGGGGGGGCTGGATGGGCTCTATGATATCTGGTGTGTGGGGCTTGAACGGGGCTAATTGGGGAGGAAGAGGCACCTGCGAGTACCGGTCGGGCCTGCATCAGGTTGGACGAGGTCTAATTAAGTGTTTCCAGTCCAGCTTGGGCTGTTGGGTGAAGCTGCTAAGTGCTGTAAAGCTACCCGATAGACCAGTTGGCTGATGGCCACCTGTGCGGATAGTGGGTTGCGACTGTCTGGTTGGACTTGTTTGGGTCTTGCTCGTTAGGTTTTGTGGGGTTTGTTTGGTTTCTTTAGTTTGGCTACGGGTTAGGCAAGAGGAGGCATGGCACCATAGGTGGGAGATAGGCCCCACTGACCTTTTCGGTCTGTCACTACCTCTATGTATTTTTTATGTTTG